TTTCTCCTTTCGAGGCTGTGGGTCAGCTATTTTATTATTAAATAGTGCAGCACAGATGGCAGATACCAGAAATAACGTAGTGCAAATACAAAATGATGCTGATGTTTGCACCTATGAGAAAACCATCATTTATCAGACCAGATATTACTCACAGACTTAATTGCTTATTCTTTGTTTTGCTTTTAGTTGACTTTCTAGCGTTGGATTGATGTATTTTAACTTCGGCTTGCTTTGTGTGTAAGCAAGCAGCTTTAGGCTATAACTGCATAATGTAGCATCCTTTGCAGAAGTGTTGCTTTACTGAGTTTTCCTGGTGCTGCCGTGCCGAGGTGTGCTACCGCGACAGTTACAGTGACAGGCAGCTGTCCCCGCGGTAAGTTGGGGGTTTGCTTGGAAGAGGCAGGATGCTGCAGTGCGGGGGGGAGGTGGGAACCCTGTCAGGCAGCTCTGCTGGCGGGCCTCCTCCTGCCACCTCCCTCGGCTTTCAGGGAGGCTGCAGCCTGGGTTCGCTAGTCTCCCGAGAGGGTTGTAAAATGCAGCAGTTTTTTCACAGTTCTGGCAAATTTAAGCTGGTGCTGTCTTTTCGAGATTGTTGACACTCTTAAATGAACTTACTGCAGTAAACCCATCAAGAGTTAACAAAAGCAGTTACAGTAAAATCTCGTTCATCACTAGGCTTAGGAAATTGCCTGATAGCATGTTACAGCTTACTGATTTTTGATGTGGACCAGTCCAGAAAAATTCGGCCATCTGCTTGGTTCATCAGTTGGTTTGAGTTTAGAAGCAGAATCTTCCATGACCAGAACTGCACTTGTGACTATTTGAGACTTGTGAGTAAAATGATGTTCACATCTTAGTTGACTATCATCAACTCAGTCCTTCAGCCTGCCAGTACTGAGTGTCGGTCCTTCCGTACGCTAGCAGAATAAAGTGCACCCTTCATGTTACAGAAGGGCTTTTTTGCTCAGTTGTCTCCTTGCCCTGTAGGAGTTGCAAGTCTTATGCCTCCTCCATCTCCTAATATGTACAGGGAAAGCCAGTTGAAACAATCTGTCTAGATCAGTCATACAAGGTTGGAACAGAAGCAGAAATCCCATGCTATTTCACAATTGGGTTTTTGTAGCTGTTAGCCACTGCCAAATTGATTTAAACCTAAATGCCAAAGTTTGAAGAGTGGAGGGTTTTTTTGTGCATGTGCAGCAAAAGCTATAGGTGTCAGAAGCTTGTTTAACTATTTCCTTGACTCAATCGAAGATTATTAGTCGGTTGTTTTAAAAAGTTGATATTGTATACATACTGCTAGAATCCATTGACGTGATCTCAGTAATTTGGTACGTTTTGTTTTTCAAAGGTTGTTACAGGTATAATTCTGAGTATTTTCTTCCTAAAATATTGACATAATTGGATAAAGCTTGAAAGATCTTACCAACCGGAAGAGGCTTTAGTGACCTTAAGGGTTAGACTGCTTTAGTTTTTATTAAGATTATCACGACCTTTGGCTGTTGTAGACTAAAAGAAATTCACCAGTCACTTCCAGCCACCTTTGCAAGTACACTTGTAGAGAGTTGTTACATTTTGTGTGTCATGTGGCTGGTAGTCCAGTCAGATAAAATGATTGCAGAATGCCAGAAGGAATGCTTTTAACACTACTAATAGCGTTCATCTTGAATCTTTATCTTTGGTAGACCAAGTTTGAGTAGACTATAATAGTGACTCAGAAGTTGTGAATGCAAATAAAGGTCCTGGTAGCATAGGTTAAGGTTTTGGCTAATTTAGTTGTTTTGGTTTTGACCTGCGTTATTGGAAATAATAGAAAAAGAAGACAAAATTTTAAACTGCTCCTTACTTAACTATGACAGAAAAAAGTATTTAATACTGGGGAGGTTTTTTTGGCATATTACAAAATAAACTAGAGAGAGAATAAGTGAGATACACATACAACATATTCCTTCTCCATGAGATTTGAGAAATGCTGCCTTTAATCAGCCTGGAACAGATCCACAGAAATTTTTATTTATTTCTTCTTCAGGCTTGTTATCTTTGATGTTCCAAGTATGTTATGACTTTAAGACTAGTTGTTAGACTTACTGAATTTAATACTTGGCCTTTATTATGGTTTTCTATTTACAAGTCATTTGCAATTAACTTTCATGTAAAAGCAAATGGCACAATACATGTGACCTACTTTGCAATGTTTCAAAAGAAAATCCAATTTCTAATAAGCAGTGTTCATTAAATATTATTTGCCATTCTTTTTCTTTTAACTGAATTTAGAAAGTCAAGTAGTACTCAGAAGAGGTGGGATTCTTTTTCCTCTCTTTCAAGTAATCTAGTACCTCTTAGGTCTGTGGTTTTGGTTTTTTTTTTTTTAATCCAAGTTAACATTATAAATAAAAGGTTTTTACGCTGAGATTTTTACCGTCTTCTGCTTATTATATCACATGCCATCACAGCGATTTTTGAATTCCCTGAGCAGCTTTTCTTATGGGATCTTCTTGTTGGCTTAACTTTTGCTTACCTGTCCCAAAGCTAGTAGTACTTTTTGACTGCTGTTTCTATCTCAATGTCTGGTTGGTTTTGTTTTGGTTTTTTTTTTTTTTTTTTGTCCTTTTTTTATGTTTTGAAGGTGTTTTTTTTTTTTTTTTTTTTTTTTTTTTCCATGGAACTACAAATTGCCACACCTTGCAAACATGTTCTAGGATTTTCCAACTTGTCAAACTTGAATGTTTGGGGTTTTTACTTCAACATTTTACTTTGTCTTTCCTTTCTTAAAACTACTGTATCAGCTTGTTTTATCAATATTTAACAAACATCAGTTTGTTTGTTTGGGTGGAGAGTGTGCTTTTGAAGTCCGTCTCCCAAGTGTCCTCACTTCTGCATGCCTTGGTTCACGTTGCAGAGCAGTCTTGGTGTGAGTGGATTTGATTCCTTCTGGATCAAAATAGGCTGGAAGAGATGCTCCCGGAGTGCCCCAAACATGTTCCACTCACTAACGGACAACCAGTCCATGGCATCAAGTATTTTAGTCATGGCTAACTCTAGTTAGAAATGCATACACTATGTATGTTAGGCCCTCAGGACCAATGTTTTTGTTTTACGAATGCACTTCTCTCTGGTGGCATTACTTGCTGATGGAGATGTGGCCTGTGAACTTTGAGTGCTGAGCTGAAGCCGCTGGTAGTTATTTAAAATGTTTTTCACTAAATGTTCTTCACTAAAAAAGGAGAACTTTGGTCCAGTGTGGCATATGTTTTAGTTGTATTTTTTTCTTCAGGAAGTTTTTGTCGTAGCATTTCAAATCTCTTGTGTGTGCAAGTGTGGATGTTTATTGCTGTAGTTGCTTATTATCAAATATGTGCACTTTGTTCAAAATATGTGTGAATATATAGTATTTTGGGGTGATATTTCTGATACATTTTTCTGATGGTCTACAGTAATTGCCTGCTGTAATTTCTCTTCTCATCCCTCCTGTATGTATTAAAAAATCATAAATAGTTTGTGATTTACAGGCATGAATGCTACTTATGATATTTAGTGTCTACCCTGCATGTCTTCTTTCTCTTTTCTACCATCTAGATTTGCCCCAAGTATAGACAACTAGCAGATTCAGTTTATAAGGTTTGTTTGAGTTTTACATGTCTAGATTAAGTCAATGAAGTAATTTGCAGTTTATCACAGTAAAAGTTACTTTGATTTGAATTCTTTACTCTCAAGTTGAAAAAGCTTGAAATCCCCTTCTGTGTAAGAATCCAGATGTTCCTTTCCTTGAAACCATCCTAAAATTCAATCCAAGTCCAGGCTACTGCACTAAAGAAGCAGACATTTGCCCATGGGTTAGTAAGGATGAGTAGCATATTCTGTTGTGAGCTGGCTGGATTAGGTCAACTAATACCTCTTCTTGCTCAAAGGGACAATCAGCTATACCTAATGTTGATGAACATGTAATCTGTTCTTTAAAAACATCCAGGGATGGATGTTCCAGCGCTTAACTGTCCTTAAGATTGCAAAGGGCTTTTTTTTTTTTTTCCCCCCTTTTCTTTTCTCTTTCAAATATTTAGCCTAAATCTCCTGTTTCTCAAATTTATTAATACTTTCCATTACTGCAGCAGCATGGAGAGTAGTTTATTCTTTTCCTCTTACAGCAATGACTGGAAGTCTGGTGTCACGTCCCTATCGTAGTTGCCTTCTTTTTGGAGTATGCAAACCTAAGTCTTAATCTTTCTTCACAGATCATGATTTTTTTTTTTTAGATCTTACTCTTCTCCAGAGTCTCTTTAGTTTGTCACTTTTCTTGTGTGATGTCTGAAAGTTGACAAAGAAGGTTTTAATGGAAATATTTGGTAGTATGTGTTGTCTCTGAAGTGGGCACAATAGAGCAGGAAAGGTTACTTCTGATATTTGTATATCTTGCCTATTCATATGGTGTATACAAGCATGAAGCTAGCTCTTAGGGGGGTACATTATAATTTTAACATTGGAATCTTATCTGAAGTTCGTATCTGTTTCTCTATACCTGCTGCTACCTAGCCACTCATTTCCCACCTTTTGCTATTGTAACTGATAATATGAAACGTTGCAGTTGCTGTTATTATATTGAACTGGGATTGATCTGCTTGTATGATACACGTTTTGCAGGGGAAAAAAACCTCTATAACTGATTTAAATAACTGAGTATATCCTCTTCTGTAAAGATTTGTCTCTTAGCTACAAGGGTAGAAAAACTGAAAGCTTTTAGATCTTCTTCCTCTATGCTATTTGTCGCAAGTAGAAGAGTCAGTTTTTATATATGTAAGTCATAAATTTTTATTGACATGTAATATACTGTTACAGTTGTTACTGTGCAGATATTTTGGAGAGTTTCTAAAACTTTTGATGGCTTAAAAGGAATTTTCAGTTGCTGTTTTGGCTTTCTTGGCAAAACAATGTACTGTTGTAAACTTTCAGAGCAAGATAGCACGATATCTTTGTGTCTTTAATAACCTTTTGTTCTTATATTTTAGATGCTGGCATCACCCTCAACATCAGGTCAGCTGTCTCAGTTTGGGGCAAGTTTATACGGGCAACAAAGTAAGAATTCCTTTTATTGATATGTTTATTTTATGCTAAATATGTTCTGGTTTCATGCTCTTTCGAAAGAGAACATTCATATGGCTTTGTTTTCTGGTGATTGTAAAAAAGACAGTATGTCTCCTTATTTGTGTGATTTTTTTAATTTCTTTTTTTTTTTTGAAGATACATTTTTGCTTTGCTTACTATGCATTTTTGCAGTGTTTAGTATGCAAAGTGTCATATACTGACACTGTACAGCTGTTAAATATCCAAATATAATCATCCTATTAAAAAATGTGATTTAACTGTGGCTCTCTGAAGGAAAAAATAAGGAATTAATCTGGTTCAGAAAAATATGTAAGGAACAGAAGGAAATTATACCTTAAATTATAACTGATATATCATGCTCTACAGGAGCAAATTAAATCTTGTGTACACGCTTGGCAACTCGCATTTGGCAAAGAATTATGCCAGTAACATTATTGCCTTCTGCACCACTGTTTGTTTCTTTCCCATACCTTGAAGATTTTTTCTGTACCTGCCGGTCTTGTGTATACTGTTGCAAAAGAAGAGCTATAGAGCAACAGCCACAGTGTGTAACACTAGCCACCTAATTTAATGGCCAGCATTGAGAACTGAACCTTCGTGTAGCTGAGAGCTGCATCCAGAAAGTGATTCAGAATATCTGAGTTAAATATACAGCTACACAAGTAAAACGGTTTGTGAACATCTCTCTTCATCACTGTACGCTTTTGAATGTTTGCAACTTTCTTGCCAAGTGCATCTGACTTGGATTCTAAGAAAAAGTGTCTTTAGAATACTTGAGAGAGTGTGGGTTTTTTTATCTGGACAGACAAAAGCTTTGTCTGCTAGATGCATGGCCTTCACAACTTCTTTTGGCTTTCTTCAAATAGTTTAAAAAATATAGTGATTTTTTTACTATCTTAGTGGCTGTTGATGAGTGACCATGTGATATAAAATGGCATTCGATTATGCTACTGAGATTTATATGAGCAGTTTCTGGCCAGTCTGAGAGTCATGTTTGGCTCTTGGCTTTTTGGGTCCTGAATCTGGCACTATTGAACCTTTCAGACTTAACTGTATAAAGATACTGAAGTAGTTTACTCATCTATTTATCATAACTGTTTATCACAGTTATTTGTTGTTTATTTTTGAGGTTAACTTTTTTCATCAACTTTGTTGTTCATTCAGTTGGTTGTGGTGCCTAGGACATAATCTCTGTAACATGGAGACATGCATGGCTAAAAACTAGAAAGTAAATATTGTCAGGGTTCAGTTTCTGCCAAATATTGAGAAAAAGGGGCGAGAAACTTCTGTGTTGAAGTCAATGCTTATGATTAAAATACTTTTGGGAAAAACAAAGCTGATAATGCCTATGCACTTTTGGATTGGTAGCTGTCAGTCATTTAGCAGGATGTCATGTTATAGAGTTAATGTAACATAAACTTAACTATTAGGCAGGAAATTGGCCACTTCATTGATCAGCCTCCAATATAGCCCAGGCAGATCTCTTGTCTCAGTTAAAAAAGTGGAAAAAGGAAGCATAAGAAAAAAATTTTTCTTTTTTTCCTTATGGTGGATATTGCAATTGCCCCTACTTGCCAGCCACAGGAAGATGGTTCTACTTCACTGCAACAGCCCTACTCATTAAAAATTCTAATTTAAAGAAAGCCAACAACAATAACCATCAGTGTAAAACTGGCTTTGCTGAAACAAATGCTTGCACAAAATTAACCTGAATACTATAATCATGTTTTTCAGTATACTGTATCTAGTTTGGAAAGTGTATGTATTTTTTTCTTTACCATTTTATTTTTAAAATTCCACGTAATTGTTAATCAGCGTGAAATATTATTTATAATATATATTTATGCTCATTGAAATTATTCTGATGCAGCAAATTGCCAAAATATTTACAGCGAACACCTTGATATAATCAGCATTTAATGAGGTCTTAGGAGCCTTGTTATAGCAAGTCACATTACCTCTTAATCTGAATGTGTAGGGATAAATTTGAGTGTTATCAAAACTGAGTGTTATAGCAAACCTCTTGGATTGCAACTTGTAGGGTAAGACACGGACAGACAGCAGTTCTTAAAGTGTGAGAGCTAAGCAACTGGGAGGTTTCTTCAGACCTTGTCCATGATAATAACCTGAGCATATGCTATGTCTGTTCTTTGCATTCTTAGTATTTAATCACGTTATACACTGGCATATTCAGCTCTTCTGCAAGGGTGATCTGCTAGGGGAGAGTGCTGATTCATCATAATTTTTCTTTTCTTTGGTCTGCAAGATAAGGTGTTGAGTTCTGTGAGTCTACCTCAGCAGCCTTGTGCCAAAGCAATAGGGACCGTTACTTATAGCTGTCACATTTCATATGCTAAGTTGGTTTCTGTTGATATGTTGCACTAAATGACTTTTTCTTGTCTTTGAACATCGTTCCAAAACTTCATAAACACAGAAAAGCCATGTGAGAATGATGAGGAACTTCATAAAGTTTTTGGACATTTTGAGACAGGGCAGGAACTGGTTATCTTTTGCTGTTCTGCGTTGAAGTAATTTCTTTTTTTACCTCACTGAAGTGCTTACTTTGTTCTGTCACACCCAATTGTTTGTATAGAAAATACTTTTGATCACAATGTTAAAAATCTTCTGTACATTTTTAAATGCTAATAGATGGCAGATAAAATTCTGCTTGCTTTCTTTTCTCAAAAGATTGAACTTGATTTGATTGTGGACACTGAAGTTCTGTTATCAAAAAGAACTTAAACTTTACAGAGAACTGGCCTGAAATGTTGCTTTTGTTGTCCTAAAAGCAGTGTTATTGTTAACTAAATATTCATAACTTTCTTTTTTTATTAAAGGTTTGCTTAATTTTTAACAAGACAGATCAGTGTTCTAAATATTGGCCAAATATATACCAATTTATTCAGGAGTAGTTAACGTATTTCTTGAGTGCAGTTACTAATTTTCTCAAAATGCTGCCTTTTTTGAGATAATTTGTAGATTTTCACGTCCTCATTAAAAAACTCAAAACTGAACCCTTTCTGTACAGTATACATCTCAAAGGAAACAAAACTTTGTTAGTGACTCAAATACAAAAATTCCTTAAAGAGCCTTTCTGAAGTTTAACAGAAATGGGGCTAAATTTGAGATAATTGGGCTTCTACTATGCAAACAAGGACTTAGTTTTTACACTGCACTTTCCTTCAGTCTTTACACTTTTTTGTAGGTTGTCAGCATAAATTGTTTCCATCTATACCTGATGGAGAAGACTTTGTTCCTGATTGCTCTATATCTCCACCCCTCTGAATTTTTTTTCAATAGGTGCACTAGGCCTTCCAATGAGGGGAATGAGCAACAATACCCCTCAGTTAAATCGCAGCTTATCACAAGGCACTCAGTTACCGAGCCACGTAACGCCAACAACAGGGGTACCAACAATGTCACTTCACACGCCTCCATCTCCGAGCAGGTATTTATTGATAGCCAATATTTCTGCGATTGTGTCTTTCTGCAGAGCTCTTGTTAAATGTTCTGCATATTTTGCCTCAACTACTTTAGAGTCTGATTAATTAAAAAAGAAGAAAAGTAGTTTCTATTGACCACTGCTTGTGTTAGGGAAATAATACTGTAAAACAGTAAGGACTTACTGTAAGACAGTATTTGATTTTTGTATGTAAAGGACAAATTGCTGGCAAATTCTGCTTCAGAATGTAAGAGGCTGGTTTTTGATTGTTCTGGTAAATGTACGGTTAAAATTTTTGTATGGATGTCATACACCATGTAAGAATATTAAGGTAGTAGGTCTGAAGTGCTCATTAAAAAAAGAGCTGTAACACCTTTTCAGATGCATAATACTTAAGTATTTATCTAAACCTGACCAAGGACTTGATTAGTATGTAATGGGTCATCTGATATTTCTGAAGAAATCCAAAACTACATTAATTATAGAGAGTAATCCAAACATGCTGTATTGACTAAGCACAAATTAAGTTGCAACAGCTCAGAGTCCATCCTACGTTAGTAATCTAAATGAGTAACCAAATACTATTGTACAGATTCATCTCTGTGGATGGTTTTTCTCTTTCAGGGGGATATTGCCTATGAATCCTAGGAATATGATGAACCACTCCCAGGTTGGTCAGGGCATTGGAATTCCCAGCAGGACAAACAGCATGAGCAGTTCAGGGTTAGGCAGCCCCAACAGAAGCTCTCCAAGCATAATATGTATGCCAAAGCAGCAACCCTCTCGACAACCTTTTACTGTGAACAGGTAAGGCTGGTTAGTTGGACCATCACTGTACAGCCATGGGCATGCTTAAATGCTGCTCTGGAAATCTCATTTTTATCCATTAGAATAAAGCTCGAAAGCTGCTTCATGTGTTCTCATCTCCTGGCAATAAACTTTGAAGCTGCTTTTAATATTCACGCAAGCTTTTTGAGGCCTTTAAGCTAAATTCTGTTTCTGACTATTGAATTTCTACTTGCTGCTTCTTTAAAATATGTGATGTTTATCATGTGTTCCCACGTTTGTTTTTGAAACGTATTTTGAATTTTGGGTATATGCATCCATTTTAAAACTATTCATCTATGAGTTTGGGAAGAAGTAAGGCAAGATTTAAAAACATGGTAGTTATTCTGGAAGAATAGTTAACTGATTCATATGCAGTAGGGACCTAATATTTTACTTCTTTAAATTCTGGAATAATATAGAAAATAGTGGTTTGCCATTCATTTAAGCATTTGGTGCTCATTTGGATGCCAAAAGCTTCTCAATCACTTCTGCTTTTTTTCTAACTCTGGGCAAGATTCTAACATCATAAATCATTAGGCTTTAACTGTGTTTTGGTGCTGTGTTTATGCTTAGTTCATACGGATAAACTTGTAGTAAAAAGTGTGTTGATTCTAATTATTTAATGTGTGTAGTCACAGCTTCACACAGCTGACTGCTTTCCGGGCTTCATTCCACAACCTCACGATCTCTGTGCTCCCAGTTTCGTCCTTTTTCTCCCTTCAGGCCCTTCCTTAGGGGACTGACTCTTACACGGAGCACAAACAAGCTCATGGCAGTCAGGTGCCACCTCTAACCAAATCCTAGTATTTTACAAAATGGGTAAAGGAAGATGAAAACTAGTATCACGGTTATCTGAAACTTGGTCAGGCTATTTAGTTCTGTAGTTTCACACTGATACAGGCATAAAAATGCTTTTCTTAATCACAGCAATAGAGATTTGGTAGTAGCAATTTATGTTCTTGGAGTGTGAGAAGGCTTTGTATCTTGCCTCTGATTACATAGAATTTGCCTTTTGTTTCCTGTGATGTATAGTGGCAAGTAAAGGAGATGTTAATCTAAAAAGATAGTTTTATATTTTAAAGTATTTTTGAAACTTGAGCATCACAAAAAGTTGAAATACTAATATACTTAAAAACTCTACATGCACAGGACATGATTTTGGAGATTGATGTATGTACTTGTTTAGATATCATTCAACTGTAGGGTAGGTAATGAAATCCCTGTCTGTAGGAGCATTTGAATTAAAATTCTCATCTTTCACTGTTTGCATTGTATATCTCATTTTCAAGAAGCTACAATTTTTACCAGTTGGGAAGGAAATATTCCTGGAACAATGACAAGTTCTTACTCCACAGTTTATTAGCTTACAGAAGTATAGTAGTAGTAGTACATATCCAATTGTTAATTGATATATTTAACAAAATTTTGAAATTATACTTGGAAAAAAAAATTTATGGTGCATGCATTATGTGACTTCCAAGAAGTGTTTTCTGAATGGTTGCCTTAGTTGTAGCAATGAAAGTTTTTAGGTTTTTGACCATAAGAAGTAGTTCACTTTCCCTTTCTTAGGTACATTGGTGAAACAGGTTACAAATAATTATAGGGAAGTATGCATTTTGTGGCCTAATCCCTTTCTTATCCCAGAAATTCTTAACATGGTTATTCCTAATTACTTTAAAAGCAAACAAAAAACCCCTTGCATGAGAAACATTGTCTGTCATCAGGTTAGATTATATGCCCTCAAGATCGAGTTGTCTCCTGGTGCTCTCACCAGGTCTAGAATTCACAGATGATACCAGGAATGTGTTTCTTCAGGTGCGTGAGGTGTCAAAGATCTGGATGTCTTTCAAATACACCACCTTGGGTGAAGCAAAGCAGGACAGGACCAGTCTTGGCTATCTGTTCCCTTCCTTGATGTCTCAATCCAAAATGAAGCATTTAGGGCTATTTCAAATTGGAATGAAATGCTTCAGATTTGTAACTGTGGAAAAAGTCTGTGTAGGTAAAATTTCCACTGGGAAAACGTTTGACATTTTTATTTACAGAAACTTCTAAAACATCAACTTCCATCCTGTTACAGGGGAAAAGTGAATGTTGCGATTTCCCACAGGGCAGAAATTCAGAATTTCACTCAGCTGGGGCCCACCTTTGGGCTTCTCAACATCTCCAGCTCACACAGAATGAAGCGGATCTTTTGTGAGGGTGTCTCTCTGACCACAGTAGTCCTATATGATATTTAGATGTCTTCAGACATCTTTGCCTAACTATATGAAACTTTAATTTAGGTGGTTTCCTTGTATGGCAGAAACCATCCCTGTGCTCGTAATAGTGCCACATGTATGTGGTGATGATTGCACACCATAACTGTTCAGCTTATAACTGAGTCATGATAAACTTGATCACTTCCATGGTCCAGCTTCCCACCTGCAAATGAATGGATTGCAGTCTGACTTTTCACTATTGCATTTACTGCTGCTTCATTTTTCTGTATGAAATTATTGAGTAATGATCACGTTTGTCATAACTTGTTAGTTGACAGATGTCTTAAGACACAGTGGCTATTAAAAAACTAAGTTATTTTGAAGTCATTCCAGTTGTCTTGATTGAGCAGTGCCTCCTGCTGCTGCTCAGAGTTTTCAGAAGTGTAAAGGACAATAATTAAAAACTGAGTTTAGGCTAATGTGGGTTGCTTAAGCTTGAAATAATTTTAAGTGTCGTCGTTTTTTTTCCCCTTAATGCCTTCCACTGGAATTTACAAAGTATGTGTACCCTTTTGTCTGACTTGCTGGATTTTTTTCACAGTATGTCTGGATTTGGGATGAACAGAAATCAGGCATTTGGAATGAATAACTCCTTATCAAGTAACATTTTTAATGGAACAGGTGAGTTTACTCTGATTAATGTCGGTCTTAAAGTACAGTAGAGAGATTTTCTGACTAAGTCTAATTGAAAATACTTTGTTCTGTTGGAGTGCAGCTTTGTTATAATTTTTAGTTGTTTATTTTGTTAGAAATGCTGCTCCAAGAGCAGTGCTATGAAACTGTTACTACTTCATAACAGTGGATTTTAATACTTTTGAAGACAAAGTGAAAGTATTCTGTAGAATACTCACTGTACATCACATGACTATAGATTATACCTAGTCGGTTAGAAATGCAAAATAGCCTATGGAATTGAAAAGGGGATCAGAGAAGAAAAGACTTACCCATTTTCTACAAAAACATTATATAGGGTAAAAACAGTAGGAAAGCATTTTCTAAAATCTTAAACTCCTTTTCAACAGCTGGTTTAGAATGTGATCCTTTCAATCAGTTATTTCAGTTGTGATTTTTCTCTGGGAATTAGTTCTTCGCTTGAATTTAATGAACTAGAGAGGAGAAAATATCCTTGTGCATAAATGCCTTAGATTTTTCCGTGCTGACGTTTCTGTAGGTGACTGTGTATATGAAGCAACTTGAGGTGCTGGTGACATCACAGAGTGGAAGGGTTTGGGCATCCCCTAGGACCTTGTGACATCTTTATAGAGCTGCAGCTCTGGCCTCGCCTATGTACTATTTTCTTCTGCAAATAAAAAAATGTTCCCATGTAACTTGCACTGCATTGGCTTTACAGCTGCTTCAGCTTTATCTTACCTTATCTGAGGACAAAAGAGCTCCTTGATGCTGCTGCTAATATGGGTTATTATCTTCTTTCAAATTTCTTCTTGATAGCTCCTTAAATTTTAAACAGGCTACCTATCCTAGTACTGTAATTTTGATAGTCTGCCTGTATTTTACACGTGCAGTCTTTAATTCAAAATGAATAGACTTTGTTACTAAATACTGTTGACTAGCTATTCTGTAAAAACAAACCTCAAACATCTTGATGCTCTTTAGGCTAATCTCATAACACAGAGGCTGTAGTTATTTGTAATAATTATAGTAAGAGTAAAAAGATCAACTTGAAGAAAGAAAATATATCCTACATTTATCTTGCACATAATGAAGTCTTTGAGTAAAAAATGTAAGGGAATTTAAAATATCTGTTTTTATTGTAGATGGAAGTGAAAATGTGACAGGACTGGACCTCTCAGATTTTCCAGCACTAGCAGACAGAAACAGAAGGGAAGGAAGTGGCAATCCAACTCCATTAATAAACCCTTTAGCTGGAAGGGCACCCTATGGTAAGATTATACTTTTGAAAGCTCTTTGAATGAAATCGGTATTTGTTTAATTCACCTTTTGCTGTTCATAGGTAGTCTTTTCAAAAATGCCAGACACTTGAGCTCCTAAGTCTCACTTGTTAAAATAAATAATCAATATCTCTGTGATTGGAGATTCCCCTCAGGCTTTTGTAAGTATTAGAACTCATCTGCTTTAGTTTTACCGTCAATAGAGGTTGTTGGGGTTTTCAGTCTGTATGGTAGGATTACTCTGAAGCTGCTCATTCTAGACATTTCTTAGGCAATAGGTTGTTTTCTAATTGCATGTATACAAGAACTGTTGAGGTCTAAGTAGTAAATTTTAGAATATTTGATTACTAGAGGGGTTATTGTGTAAAAAGTCAGGAACTGTAAACATACTGTGTGTTTTCTCTGTTTATCAGTAGTACTTACTGTAGTACTGTTCACTGTCACTCTTATGATGAACATCAGATTTCAAAAAATAACCTGTAAGCATCAACTATTATCAGTCAGATTCCAAGTCTGTCTCTTATATAATTCTTGCTGAACAGCTTAGAAAATAATAAAAGGAAAAACTTTAAGGTGGATACAAATCATATTACTTGGGTCTGGAAAAAATTCAGGTAAGCTTAGCGTGAGGCACAATACTTTTTTTTTGTTACTGCTTTAGTAGATTTTGTCATGCATGTTGCATCAGCTACTCCAAAAAGTTGCTTTTATAACCTAAAGTTATTTTTGTGACACTTATCAAATTTCCAACCAAAAATAACCCAGTGTTTTCTAACTATAAAAAGCTAGTGTTTTTCAGAGATATCTCCAACTTTAATTGGAGAGAAATAATAGATGCCGCGTTATCAGGAGAAAGTAGCCTCATGGATTGGGCGTAACCAGGGCCCTCTGCTTAAGATAGCTGTGAGAAAGATCTAAACGAGTTAAACTGAAGTGCTCCTGAACACAAGGAAAAGTCACTTCCCCAAATAAAGACACTGAAAAGTCACCCTGAGAGCGGAGAGCTAATACGGCTTGTGGTTTACATGAGATTTTGTGTGTCTCTCGAAGAGAAGCCATTACATGGAAAATTGATAGAAAGTAGGAAGGAGATCCACACGGATGTACTTCCAGCATGGAGCTGGAGTTCAACATTCAGCAGCACTGCCGCGTAAAAAATCTGTAATTGCTCCCATGCTTACACCATTTCCCCATTTTGGTGCTAGCATAGCTGTTCACACGGCTGTGTGATGTACCAGGAAAGAAATTTCTCTGTCTGGAGACTTATCTTGAGCATCTGCTTAATGCAGGGGACAGGCATGGTGGTAGAAACAATCAAGAAATAGGGCTATGAGATGCACTGGACTCTGTCTCCAGCATCAAAAAGTGGAGAGCACTTTTGGTTATGATCAAGAAAAAAATGGTTTGAAACTGAGCAGAGACATACTTTCTTCATGCTTAGCTTATTTAGGAAAATCAGACTTCAGACAACTTTTTAGATAGAATGAGAATAAGCAACACACAGTTAATTCATTATCAGTTTTATTGATCCAGTGGAAGAAATCATAGTAACTCTGGATGAAAAGGGTGAACAGCAGAAACAAGATTAACTCGGTGTTTTTTTTCTTAAAATAAAGGAACTTTGATCTCTAACTTCAGAATACTAGAGAAAGTCATATATATTGTCAGCTACTGAACTATTTTAGATCCTATACATCTATTAAGAATCTTTGAAAAATAGGCCCTAGACTACTTCTGTCTTCTCTTCCTCTAGTGCAGTTTGCAACCAAGTCACTGTATTACTTCTCTGTCTCTCAGCAAAGAATATTTGCCCTTGGGTGTGTGGTGTGCAGGCTTTTCTTTGGTTGTTTTGTTTGTTTGTTTGTTTTGTTCTGAGTTTTGTTTTTTTTAACTGGCATTAAAAAAAAAAAAAAGAATGTTGCTTTTCAGTAGTCGGAATCCATGTTCCAATGTGACTGGCCTACTTTTTTTAAATTAGGGTCAGAGCACTGAGAGTTGCAGGCTAAATGCTTTCAGTTTTCATACTGAAAGTAGGAGTCGTTCTTATGTCACAGGCAAGTATTCCATTGGTGATATGTTCTGTTGCAAGTTAGCTGGGCATCCTTTAAGAATACGTGCTTCTAGAGAGATTATGCTAAGAAATTCTTCATGCAATTAGGGGATGGAGGAGAAATGTATTATAATCTTAAAAGCAGTACATCCTTCCTTCATCAGTGGGTTTCCTTAAATACCGCTTTAATAATGCCTGTAAAGATTATTTGATTATTTAGATGTGCAAAACAGGTGCTGTTCCTGGTAAAAGTACTGGGCTTTATTCTTAAAGCAGTGGATGTGTCTATGAATTTAACCTGGAGTGTTTCTCAGCTCACACCTAAATAAGAGGCTTTAGTCTAATGTGTGTGGATGTTTTAAATGAATATGGTTTGTTTTGGTTTACCTGTTTTTTTGAAAGTCATTTCTGCTGTATAGCTTGCACATAATGAAAATGGACAGTAAGCAAGATCAACAGCAGAAAATTCTTTACTTAACAGTCATTTAATGTTATTCCTGCTTTCATTTTGATGATAGTTGGAATGGTAACAAAACCAGCAAGTGAGCAGTCCCAGGACTTTTCAATACACAATGAAGATTTTCCAGCATTACCAGGCTCCAGCTACAAAGACCCAACATCGAGTAATGATGACAATAAATCTGTAAGTAAACCTTAAATCTTCTTTTATTTTGAGTGTTCATACTTCTTTTTATGATTACATTTTAAAATGGGCAGTGACTATATTTGTAATATAAGATTTTCAAATTTGCCCCTCTAAATTAACAAGAAATTTTGCATAAGCAGCATTTCATATATAACTATGTAAATGGAATTTCTCAGGAAGTTTTTTGGTCCCAACAGTCACTGCGACCTTACTTTCTTAATTTCATATAATTTCTGTGTATCCTTTTGTATTTTGGGGAGGGGCCAGAGAGAAACTTGCAAGAACACCTCAAAATTTATTTTTGAGAATTGATGTATATTTTTCAAGTTTTGCAATTCATAATTTCTTTTTCTACCAATTCCAGCTCATTTTTCGCTGTTGGTGCCGCTCATCAGTAGTAGTAATTTACACATTATAAAATCTTTCCTCAAAGCTGTCAAATCTTTTAAAAATTAGGTGGTACAATATCACTTCAGGGTGAAATTCTTGGTGGGGAAATGAAATCACAGGGAACAAGTTCTTTTAATAGAGACCATAGTATGTTGTAGTATGTACTGGGATACACTGTATCTTAAGTATTGTAATTATCATGCGTTACATATATAGCTTAGATCATAGGTTTATGGGGTTTTTTCATTGTTTATTCTGAAAGATTTGTAATAAAAATTGCTTTTTTATTACAAATGAAAGGTGAATAAAATTTGGGTGGCAGAGAACAGTTTCCTACAGTATTTGACAAAATGTTCTAGTTTCTGATTGTTTTATTACTTATAATTGCAAAAAGTATGTTAATCAGGGTGGCATAAATACTGATGAGTAGGTAGTAGATGTGACTAAAAACTCACGTGAAAACTGAAAAATGCAACTGTTCAAAAAAGGGATGGGGGAAGCGTAGTCCCCAAATGTTCTGGCCAGGTTTATTATGTGGAAAATGTTCTGATACAGTTAGCGTTGAATACAGTAAGGAAGGAGGAAGTAAATGTGATTATACCTTGTGTAACTGCAGACTTGTTTTAAAGAATAATAAAGGGTAAGAAATAATAATTATGGAAGATCTCTTTTGTCAGTATGTGGGCTCCTGGAGCACAATCACAGTTTTCTTGCCTGGAGCACAATCACAGTGTTTACATCTCTCTCCTGATAGTGGCAAATGTGCCGACTGTATGTTGCTTGCACCTGAAATTCGCTTGAGTTATTATCTGTTGCTACGTCATGGAGTGTTATGCAGGAGCAAGACTGTATGGGAAAAATACATGATGTGATGAGTCCAAAATATCCTCTAGTCACAGGCACTTGGGATATCTATTGTATATTCAAACTCAGGTGTAAAATATTTTCTTATCCTTTTGCAAGCTGTAGGCTCATTAATAGCTCTTATTGTATGACAGATATACTTTAGGAAATGGTAAATATTACATAAGGTCTGTCAACAGAACTCAAGAGCTTCAACTTGGTTCCATTTTAGTGCCTGATTAGTTAGCATGACTTGACGTACTGGTTTAGAGCACTTGACTGAAAGATATGGTCAACAAGTTTTTCCATTTTGGTTTGTTTCCATTATACCAACTCTGCAAATTATTTTTAATAGAATTTGAGTACATCAGGCAAAACATCATCCAGCACAGATGGGCCCAAGTTTCCTGGAGATAAAAGTTCAACTACGCAAAACAACAACCAGCAGAAAAAAGGGATCCAGGTGTTACCTGATGGTATGTGTCATTCCACTTTTTCTTCTTTAAAAGTTTTGACAGTCATTTGTATCACCTTGTTGATTCCTCCACTTCTTGAAAGGAGAAAATTAATTTGTTCTTCTTGCCCAGGTCGGGTTACCAACATTCCTCAAGGGATGGTGACGGACCAGTTTGGAATGATTGGCTTGTTAACATTCATCAGGGCAGCAGAGACGGATCCAGGAATGGTACATCTTGCATTAGGAAGTGATTTAACAACACTAGGTCTCAATCTCAACTCTCCTGAGTAAGTTTCTGGTTTTTAGTACTATCTTCAGTTTTGGTTTTATTATGCTGTCATTCATAATAGGCTCACTTAGCTCACACGACTATCAAACCCACAAGGTATTTTACCAAATAAAATTTGAAAATGTAATGACAGTAAAATAAAATTTTCATAAACAAGAGAATTGTGCTTCGAGGCATACTCAGATCTTGTTATGCAAGCTTTCAATAAACCTAGTGGCTTTGCTTATTCTCCTAACTTCTTTAGGACTTTCTGCAAGGAATTGGCAGTGTATTGTTAATAAATTTCATGTATATGTTATTTTTCAAATAATAATATTCCTTGAGGATATCTACACTTAACTCTCAGCAATTTGGGGGGTAAATTCGATTTATATTAATATAATAATGAACAGAGCATCTACAGTGTTACTCTGCACCAAAGATTAATTTAAATGAGAATGTAGTTTTATAGTTAACTTCTAGTCATTCAGTTCATGTAAGTTTAGTCATCTAGGCTTCTTATAGAGGCAGTGGGGAGAAAAGCAATTAGCTACAGCACTAATGGTAAGATAAGTGCTTAAGATAGATGAGATGAATCACCAGCCCAGGGTGCTTCTCTTTCTCCACTAGTTATAGAAAGAAACCTAGGTCAGTTTGGACAAAACCGCTTACCTTCTAGATGATTGTAGTTGTGAGAGCAATTTAATTTCTGGTACTCTGTCTTTCAGCTGGGAATCTCCCATCATTTTGTTTCAGCAGAGATTTACATAGTGTTAGCCTTATTGACAGTAGTATATGCATTTTAAGGTTTGCACGTAATATATTAACAAAACAAAGACCAAACAGCATACACACAGTTTCCACGTTTCACAAATTTATATGGGGCTGCACTCTGAATGCATGAGTTCAGGGAAGATTGATGAATGTGGATATCAAGGTGAGAGGGAAAGCATAGGAAAAATGGCTCCTGATTTTTTCTGTCTTGAAATAATTGGCATGAATTTACATATTTTTTTCTAGAGATGTAACTTTTTAGAAATTACCACGTCTAGAAATACTTTCTGTAGAGCTTGCATCAAAACTTAGTCAAATTGTCAAATTCTTATGCCATTGGCACTTTCGAAAGTACTTCAAAACGATCATCCAAAGTTAGCCTTCTAATACAATTGTCTGTAGTTATTTGCAGAATGTGTTACGTTAACCGAGTATCTTCTTCGCTTGTAGTGTTAGTCTCGCAGGTCACTCCTCCATCGAATCCAGTAGTTTCCCGCTCCCATCCCCTTCTCTCACAACATAAAGAGAATGCACAAAGAACAGTTATACTGACCATGGGTTGCTGTTTTTCCTTGATAGTCCCAGAGCTTACAGCACTAACTGGGACATGGGTCTCCTGGATCTACATGATACTGAAGTAATCTGCTGTTCTCTGTACAGACTGCTCAAACATAATTTGAGGATGATCAGCTGAAAGTAGAATGCCTTTGTTCATTTAAAATAATTTCAAGTACATCGGTATCTGAATTCTTGAGCTGTTCCTAGACAGAGGTGGAATCTAGTTATGTCTTTTGGTTATATAGCTTCTTTCTTTAGATGTTGGCATGCAGAATAGTAGTAGTGATACTATTTTTGGTGATACTATTTGATGTTTTATTCAACGTTACTCATTAGTTTTAATGACTAACAGAAAGCTTAAGCTTAACATACCTGGTGGAAAGTCTACATAAAACTAGTACTTCATTGCAGAGAAATACTAAACATGCTTTGATGATATGATGACTTGTAGCTGTGTTATGCAGCTCCTGAATACAGCATCCAAATTATTAGTGTGTCTTTGTACATAAGCAGTATGTATACCTGGCATGCTGCTGCTTTTCCTTAGCAGGTACGCTGTAAATAGCTGGATTTTTAAAAGCTTTTAACATTTAATTTCTGTATTAGGGTATTAAGGGTCTTGGAGGGGGTAGGGTTAATATTTTATCCAGACAGTTCTGTATCGGAACCAGAAAGCTGGTTTTATTTTATGCTACAGAAAAGATTTGCAAACAGCCTGTGCAGTCCTCAGTGTCTGGCCTGCCATCTTGCCTTATGTTAAACGGTCTTTGCTTCCTTTATGAATTGTCGTTAGAAAAACTAAAAGCATTTCACATGTGGAAATCTGAAATTTTGTGCCTTGTGAGGTACTTCTTATGGTAAAGATACCTGTCTGACTTAAACACTTAGCACAATAAATGTGCTGTTAGAAACAAAATTTTAGAATTCTGTATATATCTCTAATGGTTTGAATTAACCCTTCTAACTCCTAGTTTTATATAGATTTTCCGTGCAGGTAGGTTAAGATTTATTTTGGTTGTTGAAAGAATGATTATGTGTTGCCTGTACAGTCCTGTATTACTTTGTTAAGAAATATGCTTCTAGTTCCTTAGGATAACTTAAAATTCTACATGAACAAAAATTTAAAAATACAGCATTACTATATTTAATTCTTTACAGATTATGTAGCTATTTGTTCATGTTCTGAAGCTTTCTGAAATATTCATCAAATAGACTGTAGGCTGTCCAATACCTCCTTGAAAAATGTTAAATTAGTAGAGTTTTATTTGTATTATGGAGGGAACACTAGGCACAAACTCTTCAGTTTTTATAGCATAGAGGTGCAGTCCCAAGTTTGTAAAATCCTGGATTCTTTGCCTTAGGAAACCAAACCTGTAGGGCACGCGTAAGGTGATGGAGTTGCAGGACACTCCTCTTCTTGGGGCAATGCCTGTCCGTGCTTTCAGTAGAAGGAATGGTTTAGTTATTTTCAGCATCTGCAGATTTTGCCATTGAAATCTTCCTTCAGGCTTTAAAGCATAAGTTTTTGCTAACAGTAAGATTAACTAGCTTAGAGTAAGACTGACACCACTTGATCAGTGTAGGTTTTGGCCCATATAGCTCAGCTGTGAGTTGGTTGTGTTCAGGTAATTTGGTAGGTTTCTGATATTTTTAATAGTAATTATTACGCCCTTGAAAAGAAGGAAGCAAGGATTTGATAGGGTGTACCATACTCAAGTTTCATTTACAAAACTTGCCATAATAGCATGCTATCATGGATAACTAAAAGCAGGCTGTAGCTACCTGCCAAAAGTACATTTTGCTCAGTCCTTTTTTTCACTTCTTTAACTGTTAATACAAAATTCATTCCTCAGTACGTCAGTCATTGTAGTAGAGTTGGAAGGTTCATAATTTTCTCTTTATTAAAATAATGGCTCCTTTTTTTTTAATATATGTTAGCAAAGTCTATATAAAAGAAAAATATTAAGTCATAATAAACTTATGTTCATGTTGTTCTGGGATTCAATTTATTTGTCGTCACTGAAATTTAGAAGAAGAGTAATATCTTTAGTAGTTAGTTTAAAAAAAAAAATCTGCCAGTATAAGCTTGTCCTCACTTTTTAAATCATAAGCTAATAAATCAGAACCCACCAGGCTTGTGGCAGGTGTTCCTATGCAAATTGAAACCCTGTGTACAATTGGATCCCTAAAAAGCGTTGAGATCCCTGGCACCTAAGTTAAAGGAATGACAGATTAAAAAGGAAATCTTGGCCCTGTAGATTCCCATGGCAGTTTAAACGCAATCTTACTCCACATATTAAAAAGAAAATGAATAAATGTAACTATTTTAGTAAAGTGGGCTGGAGATTTTCTTCTTCCTTCTCACCCCAGGTAGTGATTTTGGTTGTGTGGTATGGTTTTTAGGTTTGCAAGCTTGGTTGTGGGGATTTTTTGTTTGTTTGTTTGTTTTGATTTTTGTTTCTAATTTTGATAAATTCGAGCTTTTCTTTTTCTTCAGAAATCTTTATCCCAAATTTGCATCACCCTGGGCATCATCACCTTGTCGACCTCAAGACATAGGTAAGAGAGAAATAACTATTTAATTCAATACTAATATTTGCAAATTATATTCATTTACATGTCTTAATAGTTGCATCAATTCCGATTCTTTTTTAGACTTCCATGTTCCATCTGAATACTTAACTAACATTCACATTAGGGATAAGGTGAGTACGTGTGTGTGTGCTTATTTTTTGCTAATTTATTACCAGTAATTCTCTAAATTTTCTTTCAGATAGGTAATGTTCAAAATCAGTGCATTTTACAGACATCCTCAATCTTTTTAGGAACAGTGATGCATTAACCGGCTAATTGGACACATCATGCAACCATTTCATCTTAGAAAAAGAAAGGGAAGACAAAACTGAGAATGGGCATGGTTAGCTAAAGGACATACTATGTTTTCAAGAGAATGCCCTTCATGCAAAGCAGAAGTTTGTTATAATCTATATACTGTAATATTCAAATGCCATATTAAATTGAGATATTTCTTCTTGAGATAAGCTTAGAATTGCGGTTCAAGATACTCTCACATTTATCTGTTGCTTTCCATATCTACATGAATAGGGATTTTTTTCTTAGATGTATTTTCTTTCAACTATTGTAGTTCCGTAAGAGAGATCACTGAGAAATATTGTAAGAAGTTGTAGTAATGTTACTTAGAGTGTGAAGTGAGCAAATACATGTAAATGTTTGTGGGGGTTTTTTCTTTTTTTCTTTTTTTTTTAAATTAAAAAAAAAGTAAGTAGATGAGGATACACACAGGTGCAGGGAGAAAATTCTGTCTTGCTGATTCATTACTTCTGTTTATTTTTCTGTTGTATCTTTTAAGTTGGAAAGGTTAACTAAAAGTGAAGAAAAATGATTGTTTTAATAATTATTACTCTTGTTATATTAGAGTATCATTTGCAACGCACTTAGGATGGAAGCACGTTCTGGATGTATCCTTGTGTTATTTAAGTGGGATAGTATGTCTTAAAACATTTACCTATTGTGATTTTTCATCCTCATTTTCTTCAATCTTTTGCAGCTGGCTGCAATAAAACTTGGCCGATATGGAGAAGATCTCCTGTTTTATCTCTATTACATGAATGGAGGAGATGTATTACAGCTATTAGCAGCAGTAGAGCTGTACGTTCAAACTATTTTGTCAGTCTTATATGATTTAATCTATTGCAGTAATGAAGTAGTAGATGTAAAAAAAAAAAAAGACAAACCCCAACAAGTTAGACACTGAAAACAGAGCTTAGTCAATCTAAAGCTGGAAACCTTTTTTTAAATAACCTCCTCCAACCTTGGTTCCATTTTGTGCTTTTTTTTTCATTCATATTGCGGAAATCAAAAGTCTGTCTCATAAATTTTGCATTATTGTGAAGCACTGTGAAAAAGGCGCAAGTGCCAGTGATGATTAAACATCTAACTTATCTTCAGCAAAATGAAAAACAGTAAATAATCATAAAAAGAATTTGTTGTTTGAACCTACCAGACTTCTTAAAGTTTCATATGTGATTAGTTTGAGGTGTAACAATTGTATGGAAGAGGTATGAGATCACAGGTATAACGATGTCTTAGAAATTTTGTTTTGGTTTTGAATGCATTGTATAGTTTTGATCGAAACCTTTAAAATTGTATTTTATGAAGTCAAATTCGGATAACTAAAAATTATTTTTCCTTCCTATTAAAAATGAAAGATTTAACCGGGATTGGAGATACCACAAAGAAGAAAGAGTATGGATTACCAGGGCACCCGGCATGGAGCCAACAATGAAAACCAATACGTACGAGAGGGGAACATATTACTTCTTTGACTGTCTTAACTGGAGGAAAGTAGCTAAGGTATCTCTTCTCCCTTGTGCAGATTTTTTAAGTCTGTCAACCATGTATTTTTAAAAGGACAAAAGTAAAACCCAACCTCCTCCCCAAAAATCTCAAACTTTTTAACCTCCTACTGTTTAAGTTCATTATCTTAATTTCTGATGTGTGAGGGAATAGAGATTGCCTAAAACAGTGGCTTGTTTGTGGAAAAGGAGGAAATGTCTCTCTATTTGTTGTGTTCTTTGGGAGGTACAAGGATGTAGAACTTAGGAGTTTTGTTTAGATCGAAAGCTTTTTTGAAGTACAGAATTATAGAATAGAAAGCATTATTTGGCACTTTAGAAATTGTGCTTGCCGATATTATATTGTTTTGCTTTAGAAAATTCAATAGGGAGCTACCACATCTCACTTTGGAATTAAAAATAGTTATGGGGGGGTGTTTTGGGGGGGTTGGCTTTTTTGTTTTGGTTTGATTTTTTGTTTTGGGTTTTTTTTTGTTTTGGTTGTTTTGGTTTGTTGGTTTGGTTTGTTGTTCCCGCCCCCACCCCCAGCCCCCGATACTGTCTCTCCTTGAGCATACTGCAGGACTTTTGTGCTCTATTGTTTGAACATCAGAGTACTTGGAAATAAATCACTTCTTTTAGAGTGGACGCATATTTTCATGGTGCTCGTTTTCTGTATTCTAGGCCATGAGGCATTAAAAAAAATCTGAAAGCTACAGTCTTCTCCCTTGCCACTTCTGATAATCTATTTGTTCCTTTCTGTCCATGAATACTGTCAGTAATGTTCACCCTTTACTTGTTAGCTGAAGAAATTAATAAATTGCACTTAACTTTCTCCACATTCCCACAAAGATAATTAATTTTCAGTATCTTCCAACTTCTAAGACCACCCAAGTTCCAATTTCAGCTTTTAAGACCATCTTGTACAATGCCTTTTCCTTGCTGGATCCCAATTTCTGTGATTTCTCTTCTCCGCTACAGCAAAGATTTTTCTAATGCAAATATGTACCAAAACACTGTTTGAGAAGTCAGGAGTCTGAACATTCGCTAACCTGGCAAGAGGTGTGCTCTTTTGAAAATAGCCTGCCTTACAAGGTGATACTTTCAGCTTCAGCTGGAGCTGAAAAAAAGATAAATTCAAAATATACATAAAACCATTACACCTACCTAGAGTCTGTTTGAGTTAAATAGTTTGTCAAGAATCTCATTCCCCATTTAAGTTTGGTTATATGAGATTTTATGAATGTGGCATGATTTTTCTTCAAGTTTTAACCAATGTTGGATTAATCGATGAAAGAGCAAACGTAAAACTTCCATGTCAGACCTTCTGTAGATACGGTATCACACTCTTGCTTTTCTCTAAAAAACACTTAACAGATGAGACCAGATTAGTCTTGAAGCCTTGAACTCAACAGATGTGATTCCAGCATGTTGGAACTATGTTTTATGGTTCCACATGCTTAGGTATTTCATTTAATCAGAAATCTTTTCACCTGGAGCCTAACTTATGAATTGTTTGCTGAAAAGGTATTTCATTTCTGTGAGCAAGTTGCATCTATACACTTGGAGATTATGAAATATTACACTAAATAGTTACATGTCTGTTGATGTGTTTTTAAGCATCAGCTTTAAATTAAAGGGAATAGAGTTCCGTGTTCTCCCCTCTAAGTGCATTACATTTCTTCCTAGCCAGTATATTGAAGTTTGCTGTCATCTAGAGATTAACTAGATATGATGCTCTTTTTTCTTTCTTCCCCCCTGTAAATTTGCATAGTAAATGCAAGCTCCCCTCAGAAAAAAATGTTTTAGTTGCCCCAAATCATATGGGAGGCTCTTCAGTCCATTTGCATGCATGACTCATTGCCTCTGCTGCCTTTCCTGTGACCATAAGAGAACCAAGATGTTGTAACTGAAGGTTTTAATGGCAAGCCCTCCTTGTATGGTTTTTCGTATGTGCAAGGTAATGCCAGAACTTTTAAGCAAGAGCATCAGTCCCCTCAAAAGAAAACTCAAACAAAAGGAAAGTTTAATTTCTACCTGAATTATTTATTTGCTGCTTGGTATACTTCCTTAGGTTTCCCAAGACGCTGTTTAAAGCTATTTTATTATTATGTAAGGTCATCAGAGAGGAAGTAATTACCTTTTGAAAGGATAGATTTCTTCTTTGGAGTCAACTGAATATGTTCCATTTATTTACGAGCAATAAGAGCCTCATATAGGTTCATATATTGATGTATCAGATTGAGTTTTTACCCTATGTGGAAATACAACATTTCTTTTACTAGGAGGTAGCCGTACGCATTGTACAAGATTTAGTAACCTCTTTAGTGTCTCTCCTTTTTTTACCTGTAGTAAATGTGTGAAGCTGCTACTTGATGTTTTAAGCATTACTTTTGAAGACAGTATTTTCTCTATTTGGAGTCCTGAGTGCTGTCCTGAAATTCAGCATCCAGTGCTTGAGTTGTTAATTAGCACACAGCATCCTTCCTCTTTTAAAGAGTAGATCATTCCTGGAGAAACTGCAGTGAAAGGAAGATACGAATCACTACTGTTCTCCAAATGATTTTGCCCAAGATTACACAGATTCTCTTCTCTTTACTTTGTATACTGAAAATAATTCCCCCAATATTAAGAAGCAATTGGTAGCTGGTAAGGAGAGGGATAATATTTTCTAAAGTTCTGCACCTGCAGCAGTAAGCTAACAAGGAACAACATGGTTTTTCTTTTTTCCCCAGTGTCCATAGGAAGAAATAATATTTTTTCTTTTAGGCTTGTGTATTTCTTAATGTAAAAATTGGAACTGGAATATTATTTTGAAATTTTTATTTGATTTTAGTTTGGTTCAAAATAAAGCAGGCAAGTTGAGTATTGATCACAGGAAGCTAGAGAAGGATTTGAGGAAAAATTGCTGTTTTGTTACATGGAAAAGGAATCGCTAGAAATAATTCTGTGACATTTCTGTCTATGATAAGTAAATAAGAACTTAGATTTATGTCAGGTGTGATCTTGGCGTTGTATGGTAATGTTGTTACCTCTGATACTAATTTCTGGAGTTGACATTTCCTTGGAGGAAGACTAGCATAGACTTACAATAACAAGAATGGCAGTATTTGATAACTCCGTGTTGCTTTGAATGCAAAGAAAAGTATGGCCAAGTAATTTTTTCTGACAAATGCAGAAGTATTAGTTAATGTTTCAAGAAATTAAAAATATAGGAAGCTGGGGGAAAAAAAAGAATTCTCATAAATTGCAGTCTCTTACTATAACTGCTGTATTATTAGTGAATGCTGGGAATATCAGTTCCTTAGAAGGCCATAACGGTAATTGCTGCTTATTTGTTTCATTAGTCCTTTTTTGAAGCAGTCAGACAAGAATTATTTCTGGTAAATTACTGTCTCATATATGTGCAAATTCAATTGTTTTTCAAGGTGCTTTATAAATTTGTCTGTTGTTCTAGTGTATATGCTCAAATATAGGGCAGCACATATTTTAGTGTGTTGTGCTTTGCAGACATGGTGCATTATGCATTACGAGCTTATGTATTTATTGTACCTATTTTGAATTATACTGCATTACGATAGATACAGTGAAATATAACTGTTTACTTTGGATAATATTACTAAATCTTAAGACTAAGTTTGTAAAAACATAAACCAGACGTGGTTTAACAGGTTTTTTTGATAGTGTCCTAGATTGGTTTTAACAAAACCCAGTAAAGTAGACTGAAAAACTTCTTTCAAGAAAACGTCAAATAATATATTTATCTTTTTTATTAAGCTGTAGGTTCTATTTTTATATTTCTAATAGATAATAGACCGAAGAAGGAAATGCAGCAAAACAGCTGAGTAATGAGACAATTCTAAACTGTTAGGAAATAAAATCAAATTAATTCTATGTTGATACGTAGTAGTAAATAGTGAAAAAATATGAATGACAATAAACTTCAAATTCATCTTAAATGCAAAACAAAATGCAGGAAAATGCTGATTACAGATATGTCTGTATATATGATTTTTCATCCTAGGGTATGTGGAAAGTACAGTATGGTTAAAGACACTTTGATTTTTTCACTGAGGATTTGGCTATATAGTTTGCTGCTGTTGAGGAGACATGAGAGAGAGACAAATGAGAGAGGAAGGGAAGTGGGTATGAGACCAAAAATGCCTTCTATAATTGCACTTTTACTGAAATCCTGATTTTAAGTTGTCTGAAGTAAACTGTCTGGAGTTTCTCCTTTGAAAAGTAAGGAAAATTAATCCCGTTTAAGGAACAAGATTATAAAACCCTTTCACTTTTATTTTGAAGTTATAAAACATGGAATTCTTTATGGGAGAGAAGGTTAAATTTCCAAGTGTTTATTTGCTTATAAGGGTTGCTGCCTGTATTAAATTACGCCCTATTCTTTTAAGATCAATGTTAATTGAAATACTTTTATAATTGCTAGAAAGTTACATTTGTTCTTCTAATAGAGATATGCCACAGCATTTTAATTCAGACCCTAATTTAAATTTGGATCTTTGCATCCATCTTTAAGCCAGTATAAATGCTGCTTTTTGGTCCCTATTTGGAATTTTTGAGCTAGCCATGGGATTTCTACCATCTCTTTTGGTGGACTTACACCAAAGTCCAGAATATTTTCTCCTCAGGACACTTCCTGTTCGGCTAACTTTTTATTTGTTTTGTCTATAAACGCTGTGGATCTCCTTAAGCAATTCTCTTCTATCTTTAGTATTCTTACCTATTATTGTTTGTACGTGTGCAGGCTGTTGTAATTTATCATCAAAACAAGTTTTCAGGATGACACGAGAAGCGATTGATTTCTTTGCGTAGAACAGTTTATTTAGTGTTATACATATGCTATAAGTTTCCACACACATTTAGTATTCATTATTCTTGGTTAATAAAAGGTATGTAATTTTTAATAATTACTTCCATGTGGAAAATAAAACAATTTAACAACAGATGTTTGTCAATGGATAAATGGCATTTTTACATTTTATTTGTGTCTGTTTATATTTAAAAATATCAGTGCTACTGTTCACATCCTAAACCACAGTGGCCCCTGGAATCAAAAGCAAAACCATGAAGTTATACCTGTAATACAAGTATTTTTCTATATGTAATAAATAATTGCCTTTTAGTTTTAAAAAATATTTGGTCAAGTGAGTTCTTTTTTTGGTATTGTCAGATACAACTTTAGGTGTTCTTATACGCTACTGGACATTGGACTTGAGCACTGCTGACACTGGGATGCAAATCAAAAAGGCTGTTTTAAGCCTGTTTGTTTTAAAAATCGATGACTGTTTGAAGTATCAACTCACGTACTTCTAAAGACACTTTGGTAGGGAATCATATTGCTGCTTCTAAATGAGGGGCTTCCAATTTGTGGCACACAAAGGACTGCTCAAGCTACTGAGCATTTCTTTCAGACACACACCTTGCTCGCAGCTGCTACTGCCAATAGAGGGACGCAACCACTTTAAGTTTGGAAAGCCCTTTTTAGGTTACTGATACTGTCTTACTGCTTTAAGTAGCCATTTTCCATGGGTGATTTTGAAGGCATTTCAGAGTGTGTGGAGGTTCAGGTAACTGACTGAAGCTTTTATTATTAACTCTTCTCTTTGTTTACAATTTTGTTAAAGAAGCAATTCCCCAACAGCTGACCATAGATTGATAGTAATCTGCAGACCCTTCCATGATTATGTGCAAAATGGAAACTTTGAAAGCCACGAATGGGAAAGAAGTTTGAGTGGTATTTTTTCTATTATAAAATGACTTCAGAATTACTGAAGATCCACCCAACCTAAACCTTTAACACCAAAATACCCTCATAGAATTGTACACTTTGATCTCGATTCTGACAAAAGGAGGGAGCAGGCCTCTCCAGTATCAGCACATATGTATATATCTGCACAAAAAGAGAACATACACCAACTGGCATGCAGTGTTAATTGGGAATGCCAAAAGCAATTCACTTGTGTATATATTACCTAAAATAGCCCAAACAAACCCACCACCAAAAAAAAAAAAACAAAACACCCAACCAACTGAAAAAGCCCTTGGTTGGAGTAGAGCGTGGGGAACCAGAAGCAGATGTGCAGCACTTTGGTGCAGATGGCTGTAACCTCACATAGGTTTTGCTAGGATTTTCCAGGTTTAGGGACAGTGTTCTCTGGGGAATACAGGCTTACCGAATGCTTAGCATTTTCCCCTATTTTGTTTCCTTACCATGCTGAATGTTCTTTCTATGCTAGATGGACCTTGTTTTGCCTTAAAGAAGACAGATCTGAGAGTTGCATTTCCTAGATTTTATTTCTGGTCTTGCATGACTTGGTCTTTGATTTAGTTTGTCTACCTGCAAAAACTGAAATATTACACTATTTAGCCACTTCAGGGAGTGTTCTAAAATAATCTATTCACTACTCTTAGTGTTTTCATCTGTATGTAAAAATAGGAGAGTAAGTTTGCCCTGCAGATACAGATGATGTTCTGCTGAGGTTCTCCACTGACTTAGGCAACATAAATTACTGAGTGTGTCCAAAGTAGCTGTTGTTGAATTACCAGGTAGCAGCATTAAAGAACAATTCTGAAACTTCTGCTTACTCTGCTCCTTGAAGGAAGATAAAATGGGGATGAGACACAGTTAAACTGCTGAAAGGATCTGAAAAATACAAGGCTTAAGTAAGTCCTTGTACATTTTTGCATGAATGAAGTAACAAGCACCAAATGTCAAAGTGCACTAATTAGTATTGTGTGCACAAATTAAGGTCACAGGCAAGGAAACTGTGCTTTTCACTGTAAAGATCAGGATGTGTTTAGACATCAGGGGTGGTTACAATCTTATTAGTAGCAATTACTATAGTCGGAATAAGAATTCCTACTGGATCAGTGAAATGTTTTACAATTACGCAAAGCAGACATCCTCAAACAAAAGTCGGGTGATTTTGCCAGTGAGACAGAAAAGCTGCTTATTTATGAATGAGTAGCCTGTGTGGCATCCAAGCACATAGGCAAAGATTTTTATTCTGTGCGGTTGTTTATAAAACACCAGCAGAATTTCTCCTGAAAGACATTGGCAAAGTGCGATATAGGAACAAGACACTTGGGATGTACAGGAGGGTTGGGTGAGTCTGAAGCTTAAATCTGAGTATGAAATGTGGTGGAATGTTTTGCTAAATTCTGGCTTAAATAGGTTTCAGTAGTTTGTCGCTAGCATTTTAGATAATGTTCCCCAATTTTGTACTAAGAAGGAGAAACCTAGCTAGTTTAACTTACAATTGGGTCTGGTAGAATGGCACAAAATATCCCAGAACTTCAGGTCATCCAAAATAAGTCTCTGTACATCTGAACTGTGGAAAGACAGAAGCTTTTATTCATAATTCAGCTTGTGCCATGATTTTATATTTGTGGTTTGTGTGTGTATATATACATATAAAATCGTTTGAGATCGTAACGAGGGTTCTGAGAGTAATGTAACATTAAAAAGGAGAGCCTACATGTTGCAGGTGTAACAGTTTAAGATACTGACTTTCTCCTAATTAAAATATAGAATCCCCGAGAGCGAAATCATGTGTTTCTGCCTTGAGATAAGTTAGGACTTGATCCCTTCCATATTTGTGCTTTTCCAGTATGGCTGGTAGAACGAACAGTTCTCGGCAGGTAAATAATATGTTGTTTTATTTGGTTTTGTCTTTTTTTTTTTTTTTTTATTTTAATTGTAGGAGTTCCATCTGGAATATGACAAATTAGAAGAAAGGCCTCATCTGCCATCAACCTTCAACTACAACCCTGCTCAGCAAGCCTTCTAAAGACTTCCCTTTTCTTGGGGTATGGCTGTCTCAGCACAATACTCAACATAACTGCAGAACTGATGTGGCTCAGGCATCCTGGTTTTAATTCCTTGAGGATCTGGCAATTGGCTCATGCGAAGGGTCACCATTTGAGGTCCTGCCTTACTAATTATGTGCTGCCCAACAACTAAATTTGTAATTGTTTTTCTTTAGTTTGAGCAGGGTCTGAATTTTTGTTTTTGTTTTATTTTTCGCCAGCAGACAAGCTTGGGTCTGTAAAGACAAGCGAGTACACTGACAAAAGTTTACCACTTAGTTTTCCAAATGTAAAAACAAGAAAAAAGAAAAAAGACAAAAAATTAGACAACAAAATTTGCATTGTTCATTGTAGCACTATTGGTAATAAAAAATGTTTGTGCATTTTTATGTGAAGATCCTTCTCGTATTTCATTTGGAAAGATGAGCAAGGTTTGCTTCCTTCATTTTACTTCCCCTTCTGTTTTTGAAAGGCAGTTTTCGCCAAGCTTAATGCAAGAATATCTGACTGTTTAGAAGAAAGATATTGCCACAGTCTCTGGTTAGTTTCCAGAGTTGTGTATTACTGAGCTTCATCTTTCCAGAATGAGCAAAACACTGTCCAGTCTTTGTTACGATTTTGTAATAAATGTGTACATTTTTTTTAAATTTTTGGACATCACATGAATAAAGGTATGTATGTACGAATGTGTATATATTATATATATGACATCTATTTTGGAAAATGTTTGCCCTGCTGTACCTCATTTTTAGGAGGTGTGCATGGATGCAATATATGAAAACGGGACATTCTGGAACTGCTGGTCAGGGGACTACTTTGTCGCCCTGTGCACTAAAGGGCCAGATTTTCAGCAGCCAAGGACATCCATACCCAAGTGAATGTGATGGGACTTAAAGAAGTGAACTGAGACAATTCACTCTGGCTGTTTGAACAGCAGCGTTTCATAGGAAGAGAAAAAAAAAAAGATCAATCTTGTATTTTCTGACCACATAAAGGCTTCTTCTCTTTGTAATAAAGTAGAAAAGCTCTCCTCACTGCAGTGTTGACTTTGATTTGAGATTGTGAAATTATTTCTTCAACAGTGAAAAATGGAAAAAAAAAAAAAAAAGTTGAAGTATTAAAACTATCGAGCTGTACAGTGGTTAAGACACTTGAAGAGTCTTTTTGCTGCTGACAAGTAAATTTATGAGAGAGTTTTATATTCTTTTCCACAGTAAAGTTTCCACAGCCAAAAAGTTTGGTTAACCTTGGTTTCAGATCCCCTCTCTGTCATAGCAAATAGCAAATCATGTTTAGAAAGGTGGGTGGGTAACATTTCAAATGATAGAAGGATGCTTCAAGAATTCATCACAGAAGGAACACTTGGAAGAAGCTTGGTTTAGAAATGATCATAGCTTAGTTCCAGATTGGTATTTTCCCACTTAAAACAGAAATACATTTCATTTGATGATCACTAGTCCTTGAACTTCCAGATACAAGCAAACATGAATATACACTGGTTCTAAAAATTGTAACTGTTACCTAGAGCGGAGGAAGAAAACCTGAACGTTTGGATAGTTTCCTTTTTCTTGGTGTGACTGCCACGTCTAGTTGAGTTGCCTCTGGTGATGCAAACCATTTCAAAATACCTGAAATTACCAAAGCAAGAAAAGACAGCAAAACACATGTCAGTGAACCCGTGGGGGTTTATTTTTAGGTTTTAACCTGTTTTTCTATGTTGTGCAAAAACAGCTTGTTGGCATGTATTGAATTATGCTTGGAAGTTGGACCATTAATGGCATTGCTGTGGTTCTGTATCAGGTGTATAGCAATTCTAAATTCTACACTTTTTTTATGTCTATTTTAAGATGATAGACATAAAAATGTAAGTAAGTCTATTGATTTTTTTTTTTTTTTTTTTTTTTTTACTGTTAAAGCAAACTACTTTCTCAACTTGAAAGAATAGGATGGTTATAATCCAGATGATGGCTAACACAGCTGAAAAAGATGGTGGCTTTTTCTTTTTCTCAAATTAGAGCAGATACAAATGTATATTTGACTATTCAAACAGAAATTTATATATTTTAAAAAGGATAATTTTCCAAAAGCGTCTTGCTCACTCCACAATTAATGCTACATTTTTTTGCAGAGGTCTGCTGTGATCTTTGCATTTTTTTTTTTTTAAGGATTCCTGAAACGATGTTTACATCTTCAAATCAAATGCGATTATTTCTTATAATGTAGGCTTGGGTTTTTTTAATGTCATTTTTCCTCTGCATAGCCAATCTCATGGAAATGAACAGCAGATATGGTAAAAGGAGCAAGATAAGTTACATTAAAAGTGCTATCTTACACTACTAAATACCTATGGCACTTCAAAAACAATTAAGCTGAAATTGGGAACTTAAGTCCTCCAAAAAGTTACTTTGATGATACAATTGCATTCAACTGCACAATACTTCAAAAATGCGAGATGCTTGATTTTAGCAAACTTCTCACCCGTGAGCAAGGAACTGGTGCTTTGCTCCTTCCAAGGGGAAGAACAGCCTGGCTCTCATTTGTTGATTAAATAAGCATATATGGAGGCATTAAAATCTGTGACTTAATTTAATGTTGCACTCTGGGTTGAAGCAGGAGAAACAGGTTTAAACAGAAAACAAGGTGTAAGATTGGAAACACTTCTAGCTGATATCACATTAATTTAAAAAATTGAAAAAAACCCCATACTGCCTTTTTTTGTGAAAGGAAGAAAACCTCAGCCCTCATTTACACATTTACACACGTGGCAAACTGGCAACTGAATTGACCTGGAGGTTTTTAACATGACAATTAAATTCTGAGGTTTATTTAATTGTTTTTACATTCCACTAACACTATGAATAAGGGTTTTACATTCTACTAACACTATGAATAGAATGCTATTTCAAAAATACATTTATTTGAGGTGGATTTTTTTTCCCCGTAATTATAGTGGTGTACAGCAACGTGCAAGGTAAGTTCTGAGTAGTAAACCCGATGTTCTTGGAAACAAGTAGAAGTATTCCTATTTCTGGCCTGTTTAACACACGCTCATATTCATCACTCCTTATTGCATATTGTTTATAAATCTTTATTGAGTAGTTAGCTCCAGTTTCTCTGGGAATCCACTACCCTGAATTCCTAGGGCTAAAATGGGTTTCACCCACTTGATTATCCCTAGTATTCCAGAAAACACTTGAAGTTGTTATTTAACAGTTGTTACTCAAACCACCCTCCTTATGGGAAAATGGAGGGTACCAGGGAGTCCTGGAGAAGGGAGGTAAGGGTACTCCCCCTGGGTGTTTAAGAACGAACAAACAAACAAAAAACCACCCAGGACTTGGTCTCCTCTGCCTAAGTACCTGGTGCCACAAATACTTAAGCATGTAAGAACCTTCATGGGCTTGATTAATCTAATTGAAGACCCAAGTCGTCCAGGGAAGCTTGCAGATACTCGCATGGGTGAAGCTATTTTGCACATGACTTCGTTAAAGTGTGGGCTGCGTGTGAGTCAGGATTCATGGCTGCCAATGCTGCTCTTTCACAGACGTGACATCCATACGGTACAAAGATGTATAATCATATCACTTTGCTGCGTGTCATGTCCAAAATCCTCTCTATCCCTAAGCCAGTGGTTTTTGTACTTTTCTGTTTCCATTTTACATTTTCAATGAAAAAAAATATTGAGAATGTACCCGAAATAAGAACTTGTGCATTGTATTCAGATGCAAAATTGTTTGCAAAGTGCTGAGGGACTCTTTCTGTTGACTCTGAAGAGACCAGAAACTCTCTTTGGCCGGAGCTGAGCAGTGCTGGAAGGCAGAGAGGTCTATGGGGCAGTCAGCTCGATCCCACATGGCTCATAGGTGACCGTGGCTATTGAAGAAGGGTGTTCGGTTTCTAAATAACATTGTTTTAAAGATATTTGTCACCTAAAAGGAACACGTTTTAATTTTTTTTTTAATTAATTCCCCGTAACTTCAGATTGAAAGTACTTCTATGGCTGGGTGCTGACTGAAACAAAAAAGAAAATTTGATTGCTATCTGTCACGCTCAAGAAGAGCTTCTAAATGCACAGTTGTCATCCTGAGCATGAGGTAGCTCGACAGTGCTTTTGATTTAAGATCCTAAATATAACAATTGCTTCTGTTAAAGCAAAATTTCTGTGTGTGCTTAGTTTTCAAATACTGTACCCTTTCATCATGTTTGTCAAAATTTGCTGCTGCCTAAAAATTATGCTGGTAGAAGTCGAAGTCTGGTAAAGAATGCAGGTTGGGCTAAGCAGTTAGTCTGGATTGACAACTGATGCTTTTATTTTTGTATAGTATGAGCATTAAAATGGTGTAGCTGTTTTCATTTCTCTCCTCTGATAAGCATGCGTACTCTTATTTCCACAAATCAGAAAGCTTCTAGTATGTTTAAAAGCCCAGAGGAAATGCAGGTGGATGACTTATTTTGAAATTGTGGTTTGAATTACTTCACTCTTAAAACCACTTCGCTGTTGGAGTTAAACTTTTTTTTTTTTTTGAAAGTAATGTTAAAGCACATCGAACAATAGTTTTGAATATTACTGATTCAACCCACTTCAGAATTAGCAGTGCTAACCGAGCTTGCATATTATTTTCCTAGACTTCGGCTTATCGTTTGCGTTTCATGTTCCCTTGTCGGTATTAACATGCCAATATTGGATGTGGGTTTTTTCTGCTGAAGCTGCCAAAATAATTTTCTGCAAAATGACTTCTTTGAACTCCCTCTGGTTTAACAGACAAACAATCCAGTGAAGAAGCCAATTTTGATGATTGCACCATCCTGCATCACCTGTAAAAGAGTCCTGATGAGGAGCGAAGGGAAGGCAGGCATCCCGGAGCTGCTCTGACTGATGCAGACATCAATGAAATTCTGTGGAAACTTTTCAGCTTTCTCTACAGCTCCTCTTTTGGACAAAGGGCTGTTTTGGTTGTTCCCCTGGCCCTAGGTGTGTTTCTACCAGCCGGCTGGGATCTCCCTCCTTTTGAAGGCCAATTTACTTTCTGGTGGGCATCGCAGTATTGGTTTCAAATAGGCATTTTGTTATGGTGTATATGTACATTTGCTATTTGAAAAGGCGATTCATTACTGGCACTTTCATGGAAGATGGTGCGAGGCAGCTCCACCGTCGACATCACGAGGACCACCGCTAGACTTCTGCAAGGAGGCGGGGACGTGTGAGCCCATTCCCATCAGCCAGCCCCTCTGGGCGTGGGGTGGCAGAGCCCCACCGCGGCCCGTCCAGCCTCGAGGTACACGACCGAGGTGGAGGCATCCTCACCACGGGCCGTACAAGCTGCCGTCAGGTGGATGATCAGTGGCTGGCCGCAGGTAAGCGAGGCAAGGAAGGGCCTGAAAAAGCAGATCGCAACCTCTTTTCCTGCCGTTGAAGATTTCGTACAGACATTTAACTTTGTATCCTGGCTTTCTCAGCCTGGCTGCTCCTGATGCAGCCCGTGGTCATGGAGCCAACGTCCCGACTCCTGCCCTCAGCAGGTGACAGCAGAGCTAAAATCTTCTCAACAGGCCCCTAGTACCCAGCTTTATCCTCTTACAAACTGGGCATTAATGATCATTTTTCACTTCCAACTGATCCAAATGAGTCCTGTGCAAAACTTCAAAAGCGATGAGATTACCTGGTAAATGTTAAACGCCGTTCCCAGTTAAAATACAAGCCTCAGCATCTCCTCCAAGCATGGATGATGTAGGGGTTGGATGTGCACAGGAACTCTCAAGGTTACCCAGTGAGCTGTTGCCTTAATTTTCGGCTGACGGCACTTTATGTACAGGGGACAGCAAGCAATTGAACCGAGTATCGAACGCAGGGAGACTGAACGCCAGCTGTTCAGAAGACAAGAAGTCACAGCCGATCTAAACTGAGAAAGCAGGGCTGGAGCTTTCCTCAGGAAGATGGCTTCAGGTGGCAGGCAACTAATCTACCTGATTAAAAATTTATTGTTTATAATATGAAAGCTATATCCAGCAAGCCCCACCGTTAAAGACAGCAAAGC